CCATGGTCATATAGATGGGAGGATAGCCCTTTTAGGAGAGTGTTTGTCTATCCAACTTATTGTGGTTAAGCTGCTAAGAGCGGTGTCGGGTTTATGCATGAAAGTCTAGGGGAGACAACCCAAGTAGTTCGAAAGCCCTTGGTCCTTGGTGTCGATGCGGAATAAGCTGTCTTGGGGAAAGCCGCAAGCACCACGAGGTCCAAAAGAGGTTCCTTGTCTCTAGGCCGAGAATAGCAACAGAGAAGGAGACAGATTCCGTTCTACTATAAAGTGAACTGGTCACTTGACTGCGGATGTTGACTGTCTTGAAAGACTAGGTCATCGCCCATACTTCTCTTATTGGTTTTAACACTACTCTGCTATCAGAATAGGGTGATAGGTATTAAACCGAAACCCTAACCTGAACTGCTAACGGCTTCTTCTCTTGTTAGAGGAAGCCCTAGAAAAAAGTCTTATTTATATTACACGTAGCAACTCTTCTTGTTCAATCCTGACATTCGCTCTCATGAACGACGAGAGAGTGACTAAGCCAAAGCGCGGGACTTCACTTTATTCTATGCTAATAGAAAGTCTTCGGTACAACTCTTCTTTCCTCCGAAGACCCCTCTCTTTAGTCAAAAATCCATGTGTTGAAAGATCTGACCGATAAAGAAAACTCTTTTAGAGCCTTACCTTTGGAGATTTCCATGTATTCCTTAACTTAGATTACTGAGTTAACACCTTAGCTACTTCAAGTATAGGTAGAAGTGCTACTCCCCCTGAAAGATTCTCAATGTTAGAAGAATGCCTCCGATACCGGATCTGCTAAACTAAAGAAAGTAACATCTAATCTAATAAGGAATATAGGAATGCCAGCTGCTAGAGATGGATAAGGGGCTTTGAGGGATTCCTTCTTCACTACTCTTCTGTTCTCTTTCTAGCTGCGGTTGGTGATATAATAGCCACTGCTTTTCTTTTAAGAAGTGCTCCTATGGGCAAAAGATTAGGAGCGGATACTCACACGGTAAGAGCGCCTTTTGGAATCACTTCCTATTCTAATGATATCTCTGGCATTAAGTCAGTGAAGTTACTCTCTTTCAGGCTAGGCAAAGTCTGTCTTTCTTTTCCAAAAGCTTCGCTTAAGCGACTCGCTACGCCCCTTCTTAAGGAGTTGCTAGCTTAGTTCATGAGTCTATTTCTGTTGAGTAGTAGTAGTTTAAGAAGTCTTTTCGTAGGCTGATCTTCTTTAGTCACAAAAACTTCCACTGAATAGGTGGAAGATTCATCACTTGTAACAAGTCATGTTAAAGAAGAAGAGAAGATAGTAAGAAGACTGGATTTCTACGGGCTCTATATTGCGTTATAACGCCTTTTATGATAATTATCTAATTCCACATATATGATATGAGAAGTGAAACTTTGCTTTATCTGCAATATGATTAAGGTACTGTACTAGTAGTTACTCGACTGTAAAGGTAAAGGAGAGGTTCGAAGATGCTCGTAAGAGGAACGATGTTGACTGATTGCTCAGTCAATCACTCGATAAGATTGAATTATTAAGGGCTCATGTAGCCCATTAGAATGAGTTTTCTTGTCTGAATGTGGATGACACACCATGAATCGTTAAATGTTGTTTTATCAGTAATAATCTCGCTATCATAGTTAAGGTGCGTAGTTACTCTAAGCTATGCAACGAGGTCAAGTGTTGTGTGCGTACCTGAAAGTGGTACACGTTAACCATTCATATAGGGAATCGTTAACAAGATGACCAGAAAACGAAATTTAACGCTATTCTTTCTATCGAAAGACCGAAAAAAGAAGAAATAGAAGTCAGGGTTGTAAATAGGTTTATACCCAATATACTTGAGTTATTTTGCCTAAATCTTATGTTATTTTGCTTAAAACCTTGTGTTATTTTGATAAAATAATATGTTATTCACTTATTTACTTTAACATCATGTATAAAAAAACATGCATTTATTAAAATAACATGTACTTATTTAAAAAATAACATATATATAAATTGAAATAATAAGAGGTTCATATCAAAATAATATGAATTTTCTAAATTTAGAGTACAACGAAAGGATCAATGTTGAAAAAAAAAATATGCAAATATAAAATAACATATACTTATTTTAGAATAACATATATATAAATTGAAATAACAAGAAGTTCATATTAAAATAACATAAATTTTATAAACCTGGAGTACCATGCACCACGGTACTCCATGAGTAGCATAGAATTTGTCGCTGGTAATAGTTAATAGATATACATCACACTATGAGGTGAGGGATATGTCAAGTGGTTAGAGCTTCCCTCAAGGTTTCAAGAAATCTTGAGATCGATTATCATCCCCCGCCTTTGTGGTTCACGTTATCAACACTAAATCTAGCCAATTGTCATCGTTAAGATTAGTGCTTAGGGAGCTTATGCAATCTTTAAAATATAAAAATATTAATATATAAAAAATAACAGTATGAACAACAAATTTAACTAAAAGAATTCTAGACATCGCCTGAAACCAAAAACTAGTTGGTTATTTAAAAGTCTTTCGTTTAGTTGTTTTTCTACTTCTATTTATACTCTACATCAATCTTTTGCATCTGTTTTGTTTTTCTTTCACTATATTGAAAATATTTACAACCCATGTTTTGACAAGCGCTAATTTGTTTACACATGGTTTCTCACAATTAAATAAAGTGGGTGTTTGAATACATCCATTAATGAATATTATAACACTCTCTTTTTGTGATTTATTTTGTGTGAATTTGTTATGGTTTTTTGTATGCGCGCTCCCCAATTTTGTATGTAAAACGTATTTAGTGGAAAATATTTTGTAGGGTCTGTTCACATTTCCTGAACTGAATTGATAGAAGCTGAGCTGAACTGAACTGATTGGAGCTGAATTGAACTGAACTGAATAGCTTAAATGAATATTTTATAAGAGAAGAAAATTAGAAGCTGAACTGAACTAAAATGAAATGATTGAAGCTGAACTGAACTGAAATTAAGCTGAAATGAACATGCTCTTAATGTATACGGGTTGATCAACATGTTTATCATAATTTCAAATTATGTTTACTAAACACATATTTTTATGATTGATCTCAAACTTGCATAAATATATTGTTCTCGTGCCCTTTAACTTAATGAAAGGATTCTTAGGGAATTCACCAGCATAGTTCAATTCTAATCTGATTGGTTAGCTAATATATTTTTTTTTTCTTTTAAGAATACTATGTGGACTTATTAATTAATATAGAATGTATGACAATGCATTTTCTTTCTGACCAATTGATCACTCATTCATTTTATATAATTTTTCAAATTTTCGTTCCTTATGTCTTCATAATCTCCTTATTCTACTTGCTATAATAAAATTCAAGTAATGTTGCAACTATTTGTCTCTTTAACTTTTTTTAATTCCAATATCCCTTTTTACTCTTTAATAGTTCACTCCTCCCACATAACTATGTTTTAAAACCTGTAATTGATAAAGTACAAACATTAATCAAAAGTAAAAAAGTTTCCACTAATATGAAACAAAAACAATATATGGATTATGTGAGGATGACCCAAATTTTATAAGCCCATTATTTTGGTGGAGTATTGTACATATTTTAGAGGCTTTTGAAAATAATCAAGCAATGTCATTACTTGCTCTTGATTTCTCTAGAATTTTCTATAATACATGGTTCGTGACTTTTCTAAAACATTATGGATACAAGAATGATGGAGGAATTTCTATAATATTCCATCCATTTCTTCCAAGCTCTATTTACACCTACAAATATAGGTTCGGGGCATTCAATCATTGAATACAACATAGCACAAGAAGCCATACCATACATAAGCCTTCCTATGTACTACACCTCATTGTATTATTTACCTTCTTTAAGAATCCACTATTCTTACTTTGTAATACTCCTTAGAGAATAATATAGAGAGAGTTATATCATAATATAAACCCTTAAAGGGATACTTGTACTCTCCAATTTTTAAATACTATCTCCGTTAAATGTTATGTGCAACTTTGGGGTATTATTTGTGAGATATAAAAAAATTCCAAAGTTGCACATAACATTTAACGGAGATAGTAGTAGAATAAAAGTGTTTATTATTACATAAAAATATAAAAGTGCTCGTTATTGCCTAGGGTGACACTTGGGCGGGTGTTGTTATTATTCTAGAGTTTAAGACTTGAATGTTAGTGCCAAAGAAGTGGTCACTTGTATTGCTATCCTACGATTTCTTTTAAAGTAACAAGTAATAATGGTACCAGAATCTAAGTGCACTATGATATGGAGCTAAATATGTATTGTTTTGTGACTTGTGAGTCATAACCTCATAAGTTTATATCCGTTTATAAGAATGATAAAATAAACTTGTTATAATCATACAATATCTAAAAAGATGGAGCCAGTTGGGGCTTGGGGGTGTCTTACAAGCTACAACAACATAGGTGAATAATAAATAATGGAGTTTGTTTACCTTTGCTTTCTTGTTTTGGTTCGCTTTTATTTTGAACTGCCATCGTATTTTATGGATTTTCACTGTAAATTTTGAGAATAATGTCTCCAACTTGGGTTCAGTTACTGACAGCTCTCTTTTTGAATGCACAGTAATCAACCAGATTTGATTGTGTGTGAAGCTTGATTTGAGTATGCGATCTTGATGTACATGTAATTAAGACATTTCGCAATTATTAAGAATGTTGTATTCAATTATTCAAAAAAAAAAAATGTTGTGTTCAAATTGCAAATTCTCTCCTATTGGCTAACTGAATACCTAAGTAGAATTTCATGTGAGATATTCTTTTTGGTAGTCAACTAAATGATCGCATAGTGTTTCTATTTATTTAAATGTATGTAAGGTACTTTGGTGAGATCGTCTAACATACACTTTTGCTGAGACTGAGTAATACATTAGGTCGTTAGCCAATTTGTGCTTTTGGCTTTTACATGCATGTTGCAAGTAAGAAGTGTTGGGAATATGCACATCTCAAGTCCCAAATGGAAGAAATAAGGAAGAGAAAAGCTCTTTATTAATGAGATGTTCACTACACTAGTATACGGCCTTTTAGAAAGGAGCCCAAAAACAAAACCGTTGTTGCCTGTCCGTTGATCAGTTTCCAATACAGTTTATGTCCCAATTATTATCAAACTATAATACAACAGACCCCTCCTGACAATGGATCAATCATTAGTGAAGCTTCGAAGTTGATCACGCTTGTCAATCCATCTATACTGCGCTCTATGTTATGTTCCTCAACCCTTTTCATTTTACCATTTATATTGATGACACTCATTACATACAACTTAGAAGTTATACAAAATCCTTTTTACAGGCTATTTGGTAACATAAACATATAGTCTCCTCTGAAGTCCTGTTACCAGGTATATAACACCAATCGTACAGCTCCTAAACAAGGGAGAGCGAAAGAGCTTGCGTCTTTTCCAAAAGCCCGACAGAGTTGCAGCAGATAAAAAACATCCAGTTTGCTTAGATTTGGACGCCAATTCTTTGAGCAACCTGAATCCAAAAAAGTCGGTTTTAGAAGCAACATACTGTATGTGGATTTCATTGCTGTCTATTTCCCTATCATATGGTCCATATGAATAAATTTTCCCTACCTTTTCTTTTCTAAGCTTTTCCCAAAGTTAACCCTTTAATTAAAGGAAAGCATACCCTCCACAAGTGATATGTCTTTATCAGATTGCAAAGTCTTGCTTGAATTGAACATATTGAATAATTGATAACTTATCAAAGTCCAATAGCATTTTAAATTCAATTTTTTTTTTCTCCTAAAAAATCTAAAATCTTGTGGATATAACATAGTCTTGCATTCATGTGGATGGAACGATACGCCGCACCATAACTCATCCTTAACCACAAACAATGGAATTTGTAAATTATTAAAGATATTGTTTTGTCCATTTTAAAATATAGAGGAAAACATAATTGTACAAACGACTAAATTAGCATATTGAATTATTTTTTTTAGTAAGGTTATTCTTTGAGATTAGGACCCATACCCTACCTGTCAATTCCCTTTTTTTTTTTTGGTTCTCTACTTGTTTAACCTCCCTAATCTCCGCGTTAATCTCATATGTTATTACACCGTTATGTTTTCTAGGACTGAAATAAAACTAGACATGGAGTTAAGGAATTAGTGACACATTAGAAGAGCAAATACCTCTTGGAAAGAATGGACCTCGCTTCCCCAAAGCCACGCGTCACAGCCTGCATCTCTAGCACCCCATATATCGTTTCTACGATCATCACCAACATGAACAGCATCCTCTGGGTTTACACCCAGAAGATCACAGGCCTTCAGAAATATTGTTGGATTTGGCTTCTCAGCAGCAACCTGTTTTCAATATTTCACAGAGATGCACTTCTATCAGTAACAGTAAAATCACATTTAGTGAACATTAAAAAGGCAAACCAATAAGCCTTCTTACTTCAGCTGACACAGCCATAGCATCAAACCAATGCTCGCAATCCAGAGCCCTCAGTAGAGGCCTTAACCGAGTATCAAAGTTTGAGACAACAGCCACTTTTACACCCGCATTCCTCAGAGCCTGAAATACTTTCCCTGCATTCGGGTCACAAAGCTGCCATGCCTGAAATTAAATACATAACATCAGCATTGATCCCAAACACGCGTGTAAGTTAGACTATACACAATTAGACACAGAACAAAAGAGCACTAAACTGATTAGTTCCCTTAACACACCTTCTCAGTCATAAAGTAGTTGTATAGCTCTTCAAAGTACTGAGCATTCGAGCAGCCTGTGGAAGACGAAACAATGTATTGCCAGAATGGTCTGCCATCATCGACGTATCTGCACAGAGAAGGTTCATCATGATTAATCCCCGTACTTCAACTGGTTAAACATACTATTTTCATCTTTAGTTAATGTAATCATTGTAAACATCCATCACTGTCATAAAATGGGATATCAGGACCACAATGCATAGTGTTGCAGCCATCAAAATCCACTTATAATGTAACTTTTGCCTTTTGTCAAATTAGAGTTGTTTAATTATCAAAGAAGTTTCTTCCTTTTATGTATTTTAATCTTAATCATGAAAAACTTGAATTATAATATAGATAAGAACGACAATAATTCCACTTTTAGTTGAATTTTAGAGGTTCGGGATACAATGACATCTGACATGTACAATTACAATTCAAGGGACATAATATAAGCCTTCTTTTTACCATGTAATCAAGTTTTCATCAATTAGTAGTATATGAAAGTAAATTGACTAATGAACTATTGAATTACATCCAATGTCCAAACTTAGGATAGATTAGAACTTAACTTTAACTTTTTTCAAACAAAAGGGAGGGCAAGAGGGGGCTACCGGGATCAGATTCAAGAATAGGGAGGTAACGGAAAGCTTCCGTGGTACCTCCTTCCTAGATCTAGCGAATTTTATTCACACTCGTACTGTTTAAACAACGGTGTGTAAACACTACGAGTGTGAATTTTATTCGAATATAGCAAAATCAAAATCGAATGGGTGGCAACTTTTCGAATATGTACCCTAGATCGAATAGAATAAAGTTATCCAAGGTCTATCAAGTAGTGTGACAAAGGAATCAATCAACATTATTAACACTTTGAAGATTCCTCTTTCTTATAATTAGTAACAAAGGAATCAAAATCATCCATTAATAAGAAGTACTCCGCAACAAAAGGAAAACAAGTTCAACTGTCCACATGTGGCATCAAATAAATTAATTAAGTACACTGCTACCGTGAATCTTGCAGAAGAACTTGTTACGGGTATACTTTATTCTTTTTAGCCAGTTTCACATCTTTCCAACTACATTTTGGATAAGGTTTCACGAACGCGAAAATCGATGATAAAATGATAAATAAACTACGGAGTACCAATTAACATTAGACATTGATACGTACCATGACCTAACGTGTTAGAGTGTTAGTAACCCTCACACTTCTCTTCCATTATTCGAAAGGGAGGTTAGCAGTGTCGCATTTCAAGGATCAACCAAACATTTTCCGAAAATATAAAAATTTGAGGAATTCTTAGACTCTAACTGTTAGAGTCATTTCAGCACACGTTAATTATATCGATACCCAAAACAATTTTATATTCGTTTGTATCATTGAATAAGGTGGTTGGTATCATGGTGATACTATCTAAACTATAATGAAATACCAACATGTGTTATGACATTATTTTTTTCAAATATGGTAAAAGTAAATGGACTATTAGAGGGGTTAGAGTCCTAGAATTCCTCTAAAAATTTGTGTATACGTGCTGTATTGTTTATTAGCACACAGAATTCAGATATATGGTCCACATGAGTCATGACACATCAATAACAAAAATTGTAAAATAAGAAGAAATATTTCAAAAAATAAATGTAATGAAATACAGTAAATTAAATAAATTCATTACTGTATATAAGAAAGAAAAAAAAAATAAGGGAAATACCTGAGACGTGATCTTCCCCAAGGTTGACCATAAGCCCATCTGTATCTATTCAATATTTCATCCTCTGAATATTTCACTCCATACTTTTCTCCCATCTGCCTGTATATCTGCATCCAATTACATTACTCTTATAAATCATCCAGAAAATTAAAATAAATAATCAAAAATGTAATAAATTAAAAATTACTTTTTTTTAGGCAATAAATTAAAAATTACTAATGATAAACATTAATCTAATTTGTACCTAATAATACAACACCTAATTATTTCTTTAGTCCATTTTCAATAAAATAGTCACCAATAATGCAGCACACTCACTAATTATAAAAAAAATGCTACTCATATCTCATGACCAATAATTTAGACGGGTTTTAATTTTTTTAAATGCAAATTACATTAGTTAATCATAATGTCTCATAAATATCTTAACACACTTCATGTGTTAACAATGATTTGCAATGCCTTAGCTTTGTGACTAGTGTGAAACCCATACATTATAATGCTTAAAATTGTACCAAATGTTATGATCAATCAAATAAAAACAGAGAAAGTATAGTACTATAACAAAATTGTATAGTACAATCAATGGAATTGTAGTCCTAGTACGTCTAGGCCAGGGTCCGTGCTCACGGACCCTGGCCTAGTTGGAAGTAAAACTTGATGAATAGAATACCACGAATGGCGAAAGCATAGTACAATATAAGAAAAAGACCTGAGCAGTGGGTTGAGCAGGGACAAGGAGAGTGCCAACAGCATCAACAAAAAGAGCTTTATGAGTAATATTTCCACCATACAATGACTTCCTATAATCTTCATAATCTTTCAACCAAAACCCCATTGATTTTGATCCCACCTCCGTCGCTGTCGCCGCCGCTGATGATCCCCAGCATTTTTGTTGGCCTAAACTTGTGTTGATGATGCTTTTGCTGCGGCTTCTCTGTAGTATTTGTGAGATTATTTTGTTTCTTACAACCATTTTTTTTTTTTTTTAGAGAATTTGGTTGAAGTTTTCAGGGAATTATATTTATCTCTCTGTTTTTTTTTTTTTTTTTTTTTTTTTTTTTTTTTTTTTTGTGCTAAGAGTTATTATGGTTGTTTTTGAGAGAGAAAGCTAAGGGAAGAAAAACAAATGGTGATCTAAGGAACAATAATATAGGCTGTTAGAAAATAAAATGGCCTTACAAGTGCAGTGGTATTACGAAAATGCCCTAGGGATTGAAGTGGATAAGTTTTTTCTATTTTGTTATTTTTACTTAGCTCAATTTTTGACTTTTGTACTAGTTACGTATTCTTCTTTGACTGACTTTTTGTGATTTATATACTACCTCTATTATATATATCTGCAATGATTAGACATTTTTTCTCTCTACTTTATGTCAAATCGTTACAAATAATATATAACGGAGGTAGTATATTATATGAGAAATAACACAATGCTATGAGATCTTATTAGAATTGTCTTAATAAAAATTATCGTGACTAATATCTAACTTTTGTACTTTGTAACTTTTATCTATTATTAAAAGCTTAGGTCTGGTTTAATTCACCTTATTTTTACTTATTTCACAAAAATTAAGTTCAAATCATATCAGATCAGAAAAAATAAGTTCAAATCAGATCATCATTTTATGTACAATTTTTATCGCTAATTATCTTTAATTCTGTAATGAAAAAAATATGAAAAATACATATTAATAAAATACACATTATTACGAATCTAACCAGACCCCACTTGATATATTTTTTCTTTATAGATTATCGTACAATTAAGGTCAAAGTTTTGGTCAAATTAGATAATCAGACTAAATCAGATTAGACCAGATCAAATCAGACCAACAAAACTAAGGTGAACCAAAAGAAGGTCTTAATTTATTAATGGCTAAAGTTGTCTATTATTAACAAATAAGATACAGTAAGTAAAATAATTGAAGAAAAATATATTATTAAAACTTAATGCATGACATTAAATGCTATTTTAATTGCATAAAATAAAGATATTTTGTGAATAACTACCTTAAATAACACAAGTTTTGCAAATAAGGTAGTTCCCCACAAATTTTGACCATAGTATAACAATTGTACTGTTAGCATCAGTGTTCGAACATGTAACTTCATATTCATTAAAACTTAACTTTTACTAATAATGTGAGAAACCATCTTTTTAAAAGTGTTGTAGTAAATCACTTCATAAAAAATAAATAAATAAATAATAAAAAAAAAAGACAACATTGACCATTAACTCCGACATTGACTATCCAAAGCAACTTACGGTACAAATTAAAAACAACCAACGCTTAGTGAACAGTTGAACACTGGAGTTCATGGTCTACATCACATATCGCAACCATAGTCTACAATCTACATCACATCCGAGTTTATATTGTAGCATTTTAATTCAATTTCAAACCCTTTGTTTCATTTTAATTTAAATCAGGTCGACTTTTAAGATTTTCTTCACTATTAACGGCTTAACACCTAACAGATATAATTGATGAGGGTAATTTGGTAAAATAATTCATTGACGGCCTTTAAAACCGTGAAAAGGGGAATAAAAAATAGGAAAACAATTATGTGGCAACCAACGAGCTAGTTATAAAAATCCTTGTCATCAATTATCACACATGCTGTACAAATATTGTATACTTGTAATTAGACCTGGCAATCCTGACCCAAACCCGATAACCCGACCCGAATAACCCGACCCATGACTCGAAATCAACCCGAAACCAGTGACCCGAATTGACCCAAACCCGAATTAACCCGGCCCATACCCGACCCGAAGTGGAACTGATCCGAGCTTGACCCGAAACCCGAAATGACCCAACCCGAAACGACCTGACCCGAAGTTGACCCAATACCCGAAGTTGACCCGATCTGAAAATGACCCGACCTTTAACTTCTTTTAGTAAATAACTAACTTCTTTTAGTAAATAATTATACCCGAATTAACCAGACCCATACCCGACCCGAAGTGGAACTGACCCGAGCTTGACCCGAAACCCGAAATGACCCAACCCGAAACGACCCGACCCGAAGTTGACCCGATACCCGAAGTTGACCTGACCCGAAAATGACCCGACCTTTAACTTCTTTTAGTAAATAATTATATGAAGTATAAGTTATAAAAAGTTTATATTAGGAAATTATACATTAAAATAGACCCAACAACATCTTACATGACTACATTGACTTTCATATAATAGCTAAAAAAGATGGTCAAAGTGAGATGTGTGAATAGTGCAAAATGTCATATCGTTAAGAGTAATTTGTGACGTAGGGAGTATAAGAATAATATAAAGAAATTATTACAACAATGACAATGATAATAAGAGTACGTAGTAAAACAGATCAATAAGAGAGTGAGGTATAACTCAATTAGTTAGAGCATCCCTCTTAGTTTTAGGAGATTCTGAAAGGGATTCTCGGTCTAAACACAAAAAAAAGAAAAAAAAAAAGGTTAATAAAAATCAAACAATTTCTATAATCCATGAAAAAAATAGCCTTAATAAATATAGTGAGTTTTTCGTCAAAAAATAAATAAATAAATATATATACAGATTTGTATTTAACTAGGGATGTCAGTGGGGCGGGTCAAGTAGGAAACCCGCCCCATCCCCGCCCCAATGGGGCGGGGATGGGTCTCGGTTTGGCGGGTGGTGGGGCGAGGATGGGGATAAAAACCATACCCGCCATGGGTGATGGGGCGGGGGTGGATTTTAAGTTGTACCCGCCCCACTTCGTACCTGCCCCATCCCCACCTCATACCCACATCTATATATCTTTTAAAGCAAAATTACATACTTTTATTCTATTTATAAAATAATTACATGAAATACAATATTAATTATAATACTTTGTACGACACTTATATTATAACACAAAAATGTGTATAAAATGTTTTATTTTATAATTCGTATTAATTATGTAAGATTGTGTATTTGAGATACGGATATTAGGTGGATCTTGGGTGAGGATTAGGTGGGTCTTTGGTGGGGATGGATATCCAACTGGGGGGTGGGGTGAGGATGGTTTTGGAGTTGTACCCGGTGGGGCGGGGATGGGGATGAAAATTGGACCCGCCGCGGGGATGGGGATGAAAATATTAGGTGGGGATGGGGATGAAAATATTAGGTGGGGATGGGGATGGGAAGGCCAACATCCGCCCCGCCCCGCCCCGCCCCGTCTCATTGTCATCCCTAAATTTAACCCAATGAATCACCCGAATATGACTCGACTCGAAGTTGACCCGACCCGAAGTTGATCCGAAAATTGGACCTAAAAATTGACCCGACCCAAACTGACCCGACCCAAACTCGACTCGAAGTGTTGAGCCGATACCCGTCCCGACCCAATTATCAGTCGACCCGAAATCACCCCGAAACCCGAAATGACCCGACCCGACCCGAACTTGATGATAACCTTTTGACCCGACTCGACCCATACCCGACCTGAATGACCCATTTGCCAGATCTACTTGTAATACAATAAATGAAGTATATTGTATTTCCTTAGTGGTTAGATTACCCATCCTATTGCCCTATTGGGAATCTGCTGGCTGCTTTTCTTCGCATTCCCACTTCTTATTTGGATTTTAGTACGAGATATATGGGTGATTAGGTTTCAGTCCCCTCCTAGTATATGATTAATATTCATTAAACTGTTGGAACAATTATAGATATACAAATGTGCTTATGAGTTCATATATGAGGTTTATATAATTATATTATGGTAGAAGTTGAGGAGAATTAGTATAAGGATTATACTTGGGGCGTTTGGTATAGTAATTTTAGTTGTAGGAAACGGATTCAATCAAGCGTTTCCAATTCTAGTTGTTTGGTATGTGTTAAAAGTAACAAATACCCTTTCCTAAGGGTAACAAAATCCCCCAATTTGTTACCCTTGACAAACTAGTGGAAACAAAATACGTTTCCTTGCTCAATCACTAACTACTCAAATTGTTTCCATTCCACTAGAATACCAAACATATACTAAAGGTAACGTTTATCATTACCCTTTCCCCTACTTTTTTGAATCTTTTCCGTTTCATTTATAATATTTATACCAAACACCTTCAGAGGTATAGCAAAGCAAGATGTGGGCAAGGGCACCCTATAGGGCAAGCACGAGTGACAATCAAAGGCAAAAATGCTGAATTGTTTTTAAGTTTCTATTGTTGCACAATGTAAAATCATGTATGCTTGATTTTTGTTGTCAGATTTTTGTTGTCAGATCTGTGGGTGTTGGTAACTTTGTTTATACAAATTATTTTTGCTGTATTTTGAGTAGAAATGAAGAATAATGATTTGTTATGGTATTTTTAATTTTGATTAAATACGGAGTATATTGTTTATTCTTGCAATTTGTGTAACCTTTTTTTTTTTTTTTTTTTGGCTAGCATTGATATCAAAGGGTGACTGCTCCTTGCTGATCAGTGTGCTACAATGCTCTTCATTAAAAATTATATTGTTTACTATTATTTTCATTTGGTGAATATAAGTGAAAATAATAGTAATACATCAATTATTCAATTTGTATGGGAAAAATTTCATGTCAATGTCTCGTGTATTAGTTTCATCCTCAAACATATGTTAGTCTTCTTTATTTATTACAGTAGTTTATTTTTTGTACTGTAACCAAATTCTTTAAGGCTACACCTGGGTGCATATTTTGTTCTCATTTTGATGATTGTTATTCATTTAATCATCAAATGAAGAGTAGAAAATAACATTGGGTTAATTAGGTGCACGATGCATTCTGGTGTATATAACAATTTTTATTCTAAGACTGCATTCAATATTTTTTGGCAAATAGTAGAATTATTAAATAATAGATTGAAGGTGAAGGGTATAATTTATTTTGTTTAATGAATAAAGCAGAAGTATAAAAAAATAAGAACACGCCCAAAAGTAAAGAAGGAAGCAAATTCAAAGTGAAATTGTAAGGAGTATATCAAGTATGATTTTCAATTTAATCTAATATGGAGTAATCAAAGAATTATGAATAATGGCCCTCTACATGACTACATATTTAAAATACTATATATTCAAATTCTCTATCATAGTAACCTAATAATTACTAATTAACCAATCAATTAAAAAAACAAGAATCGATTGATTGAAACATCAAATTTATAAATAAACTTTATCTAACTAGACATCCAATAAGATCAATCTTCAAAAAATTCAAGTAGTCGTTTAGTGATTAGTGGCTCTTAGGTGTAGATGGGAAGATCAAAAGTCGTACATGCTTAAAGTCAAGCATCACCACAAATAATCTTTGGAAATTTTGAACTTTTTTTCTTAAAGATACACTATACTTATGTGTGTACAACCATACATGTAACGATTATTATCAAGGATCACACGTCTACTCCCCAATAAGACTTATTACGAGAATATATAATTGGTATTTTATACGAGTATATATTATGTGTAACAGTTATCGATAGATATCTAAATCTTAGTTATCATCAAGTACGATCTTTGACCTCTTATGATAAATCATTGCAACCTTTGGAGTTAGGGCTTTAGAAAGGTGGGAATGAAGAAAGAGTATGAGAGAATCTCAAAACCAAAATTGCATTCGGTTGGATTTGAATATGTAATCTTAAGATTACATGAATTAAAGATTATACTTCGTATATTCTAACATATGCAGTATGAGATATATGTTACACCAATTAAACAAGCTAAGTTTGATTACCATCATCAAATTCATAATACACGCCATATCATAGCCTCATAGGCATAGCAATCCAAATATTTTATGATGTACAATTGTACATACACTAGATTGAAAATTTAATAATGAATCTAAAATTTGTACGTAGCTAACATTTAATTAAATACAAGGGGCAAAACAATTATACTTCATGATAATAATTTATGACCAAATTTCAAATTAAGAAAATAAGGCTTGTGATGCAATCCAATTATATCATTAGTTCAAAAAACCCGTATAAGTTTATTTAATTTTGTTTTATATTATTATATTGGAGTCATTAGCATCATCATTATCATAACCTTGCCGTTGTCATTGTCATTGTCATATAATATCAAAGCAATCAAACTCACTTTTATTGTCATCACTTGAGTCTTAAACTAAGGTTATCACATGGGATTTTTGGATGGAATCAATCGATCTCAGACTTATTCAACAATTATTTCATGTGATGGCGTTGTTCAATATTGATGAATATGTATTTAAATAAATCCACGTGTTTTGTTAATTAAATTAACGTGTTGTGTAATGTATTCATATGCCTTTTGAACATCTCTTGACTCCCTTTCTTTCTCGATCTTGAGAAAATTGAATCTTTCCTCTGTTTAGTTGTACCATTTTGGTTTTTATGTTGGTTAATACACGCATAATTTTTAATATTATATCTTTAATCATAAATAACGTACATAATGAATATGTATATGGAACGTTACTAAGTTAGCGATTGATAATATGAATGAATACGAGTCCAACATTGATTGCAAAATAAAACTTGTGGACAAGATTAGCTAGACCACCATCTACTAAAAGTAGGCGTTTAGTGCCAAAAATCAAAAATACTACGTGAATTTGTATGTGGTTCCTAGTATAGTGAAAAAAATGGGTTGGACACATTTAAGCATCACCACAAATTATATATGAAAACTACTACTTTTACGAAGATTTTGAACTTATTTATGTTACACATTTGACATGACAATGATATATCTTGCTTAATGTCGTTGAGGGACCTTTCTCTATCCTAATCAGTTCACTGAAACATTCATTTGTTATTAAGTTTCGTACTCCGTATATGTAACACATGTACATGTTAATAAACCTAGTTAATATATCAATTACTATGCTTAATTAATGATTATTATTGGACTATGATATCATGTGTAGGATGATAAAACCCTTACGTACTTCACAAAATTAGCAATCTCATTATGATCAAAATTAGACTATATGTACAATATGCAAGTAGAGCCTTTTTTTGTACCCAAATAACCTAATGAACCAACTACTCAGATCTACTTATATGTTATATACTTCCTCCGTTTCTTTTTAGTTGACACGTTTCTTTAGTCACGTTTGTCAATGCACTTATTCAATCATTAATATCTTTAATTATCAATAAGAAAAACTTATAAAAAGTTGATATTTTGAAAGTATATAACGTGACGAATCTAACAAGATCTCACATGATTATATTTTTCATTATGTATAAAGCACAAAACACAGTCAAGGGGAGGTGTGTGAATAGTGCTAAAGTTAAAACGTGTCAACTAAATAAAAACGGAGGTAGTAGTATATACTTACGAAAGAAAAATATAATATTAGAATATGTCTTGCAGTTTGTCAGATCAAATTTTTTGTTTCCCTTCTATAAATTCAATCCTGTTATATAGCTAGAAGTATAATATTCAAATTTTAATATTGATTTTAATATATATGAACTTAAATACACTACTACGGAGTAGTAAATAATTAATTTAAGTACATACACTCAAATTCTTTCTATGCAAACATGAAACATCCTTATACCATCTACTACCTCTATTAATTTTTATACGCAACTTTGAAATATTTTATATCTCATAAATAATACCCCAAAGTTGCACATAAAAATTAACAGATGTAGTATATTATTGATTTATTTCAATTAACTTTGTGCATCATAATTCTTGTACAAACTAGCAAAGGGCAAAATAACAGAACCAAACCACAAATTCCCATCTTTTTCCACCACTTCACTAACAAACTTCAACTTACCACTAGTATCTTCCAACACTTGCACTACATTCCCATTTTCATCCATCTTCACAGCCAAACCAATTGCTCTCAACCTTACAAAAACCTTAGCCAATTCGACGGCATTAAACGGAAGTTTAACAATGGTTTGTCCAATCCAAGGAAATGAAAGAAGCCACTTCAAAACTTTACTTCTCTTTGAATAAACTCCCACCCAATATTCTCCTTTGGAGTTCCTGTTTATGTTGTCTGGATAGCATGGGAGTTCAGCTAACACTTCAGTGGTACCGCCTTTTGAGCTGTTTTCGAGCCAATGACTTAGCAGTTTACAAGTAGTAGTCTCAATTAGTAGCAGAAATTTCCCATCCTTGCTCAAGGATACTCCATTTGGAAAGGTTAGATTGTCGAGAAGCTTCGTTACTTGTTTTGTATGTGGGTTGTACTTTAGCAATCTTCCTGTCTTATCATTGCTAAGAATCAATGACATATACTTCCTGCAAGAGTATACAACACTATATCTTTCAGAAACATCTATATATAGTTAATGCCATGCAAGTATCACACCTACGACAACCAACTAACATGTTGGAAGGACCGTCACGTTTGATTTTCACACTTGTCAATCAATTATGCATATCTCCGGCCATCTATGTTACTTGGACTCGAGGACCATGTCCAATACAGATACGTGTCTAAGGGTCCGACTCGGCTATTTTGTGAAAATGTTTCATGATTTTGAACTAGAACTGAAGTGTCCAGGGGTCATACCTATGCATGAGTGTCGAGGGTTCTACACGGGTACGTGAGGTGAAATGAAGAGTACGAGTAACATAGCCGGCCATTATATAAAGAGTATTTAATCATCTATGTGGTAAAAATTATTAAAATAGTATCAATCACCAATGATATTGAAAGTCAAGTCTATGAGTAGTGTAATAGTTAGAAGTATTACAACTACACAAAACAAAAGAAGTACTTCGTATAAAGTAATGATCAAAGTTGTACATTGACATGCTACATTTATTGGAAAATTTTCAATCAAAGAAACAAAAAGATATAAAGAGGAATGGACTAACCTTCTTGGATAATTGGTACTGCTAGAAGTAAAGTAGACAACCCCAGTAGATTGATCAATATCAAGCCCATTAGTAAACCCAAGTGGTACACCTTCAACTTCAGTTACAACTCTACTAGCAAGCCCACCATTTGGGCCCACAACAAGCAGGCCCAAATAAGCATCAGCTATGAAAAGCTCTCCTGTCTTCTCATTGAATCGAAGGCCCAATGGTCTCCCACATTTATGTTCCATTTTTTCATGATTGGTTTGATTTTCACAAAATTCCCTGTTAAAAGACAACAACCAACCAACTCAATAAAACGGGTCAACGTTTATCACACACATAATATGACAATTTAATGTTGTACTGTTCTAAAACATCGAAGAGTAGCTTTCATACATGCGGAAAAATTGCAACCATACAATGAGAGTTATGAGACTGAGAGTTTTATCATTAAACTTGACTAAATATTGACATTAATATAGAAATCAATAGCATAATATCATAACACATGTACTAGTGCTAAAATCAGAGTCGTCCGCTTAGTGTTTAAGGGTTCAAATGTATACAATCTATATATTGTATCCAAAATCATTGACATGTAATCTTTGAAGTAGACTTATAATATACTACTTATATAGCCAACTTGCTCGTAACTGATCTGATCATAGTCAGGTTTAGGATGAAAACTATACATAGGTATTTACAATTGAATTTAGTTCTTAACTCGGTTTAAGGATAATTCGAAATGATAATTGATTATAATAAAGGATATCTCTATCAACAACTATTCATTACCTAAGAACTTATTTTCACGAATCTTCAACCCTAGTGGGTGAAGATGCAGAAAAGTAAATATTATTTTGTGAAAGCAAAACATCCTTAAGTCTTAAGAGATTAGAGTAAATGTGTAATGTTTGTGTGAGTGTGACACTAGCTATCAACTAATTCTTATCAAAATCCCAATCAAAAAGGAAAGATTTTCAATTAACTATTAGCCAAACACCAGATTAAGCAAATTAGCTAGACATCACTTTCATGATGGCATAGATATTAATGGTTAGTTGAGATTTCATGAATTTTTGGTATCCTTATGTTTTGACGTCAATTTTTACACTACTGTATTATTTTGGAAAGAAAATCCTACTAAAAATCATACTACGGAGTACTTGACTACTTGTACTATTTATTTATTTATTTATTTATTTATTTATTTATTATATACTCCCTTCGTTATGATAGTCTCATATGCTTTTTTCAACTACTCCGTACTATTACTTTACTTCCTCTGTTACATATTACTCGCAATACAACAAAGGGGTATTATTTGTGAGACATAAAAAAATAATTTTTTTTACCAAAATTCCCTCCAATTTACAATAATATTTGTACAAATTTAGCTTTCCTATATAAATTTTTCATTTTTATACGTATAATTTTATTACTTTTTCTCTTTACTTTTTGCATATCCAATGTAAATTTACCATTTCAATATACTTATACTATTTCTTATTTAGATTTCTTAATTCCCGTGAAATTTCACCATAAGGGAGGGAGTATATCTCTTTCCACTACCAAAATGCAATATTTCTATTTTTTCCTATTCAATCAATAAAAACATCACTAAATTCCATCACATCTACTTTTATTTAATAAATAACTTGTAACACTCTAACATCTCCTTTTATGTCTAAGTAAGCGTCAAAACTATGCTAAAACAAAGAAAGAACTCCGTAATAATATAGACTTATAGACCAGTGACAAAGAAAGAAATAGATCCAAACATTCTAGTTAAAACATCATTGTACGCCTTTCTCAAAGTGTTATTTATTACCTAGAATTTATTTACTACATTCTTATAGAAAATAAACCAACAAGCCATAAAAATGTAGGTAATTACGTACGCCAAAATTATGCTATTACTTGTTGCCTAGGCAAAAAAAAAACCTCTGAATTGATGATTCTATACTTGTTAGAATTCAAAACATTTTTAGAATTCTCTATTTCATACTATCTTGAGAGACTCCATTATTATCTATCGCTTTACGCAATTTAATGGCTCTTTGTTCCTAATGGATATACCATTTTTTTTTAGCTTTTGTTAATAAATACATACATCGTATATTATGAAACAAAAATACTATGTATGTCTTTTGAGTAACTCCTAATATAAGCTTGAAAGATTAATAACTTGCACCTCATAACTGAGAATAATTTGCAACGATTAGACATTTTTCCTCTCTACTTTATATCAAATCGTCGTAAATATTAAAGGTAGTAGTAATTTTGTTAGTGTTCGACACCAAAGTTATAATGCGACCTGTTATAATATTACGGAGCTAAGTTAAGTTGTACGCAGTATGTTATCTGTTAGTTTAAATGACTGATTTAAAAAATAAAAAATAAAAAAGTATTTGTTAGTGTGTTCGACAACAAAGTAATGGCAGTAGGCTTGATCCTTAATGCTCCTATAGTCCTATGTATATTGAACCTTAAAAACACATACATTATATAAGAGATGTCCAACAAGATAGAGGGATTAAAGTCTCATATTTTGTACGAGTAAATTACCAGAAATTTTGGTAATAAATAAGTAAATAATGAATGGACAAAAAACACCTAAATTAAAAGAATGAGATGTCTATTGTTTAGCTATTAGCAGCAATGTCTATCAATGTAACAGAACACTCATGACCACGTACGGAAAGAGTAGATGGTGGTTATTTGGTTGCTGGTTAGGCCTATGCGCCTAAGAGTGTCAAAAGTTTACCCAATTTTAAAGATTTAATTCAAAACAAACTGTAATTTGTAGTTCGGGTTTCAATTTATTCAAGTGATTGAGGTTTTTCAATAGATTTTGTGTTTGAATTTAAGTTAAAAATAACACCTTATGTAATTTTAGAAACAATTTGTGTCTTATTAGAATACAAGTCTACCATGTCACATACTACCTCTGTTAATTGTTATGTGCAACTTTGGGGTATTATTTGTGAGATATAATTAACGGAGGTTGTACTTTTAATAAATACTTTAGCAATCCAACAAACTAAATATTGTCATTGTGGGCCAGGCTAAATGTTAACTTGAATTGAAGTTGAATTAGCATTAATTATTTTATTATCTGCATTAGTTTTTGTTAGCAAAAATTTCAACCATTATGTGGTGAAATGACTAATGAACATGATATGCCTATTTACGTGTATGAGCATTTTAGGAATTGAGGAAAATTCAGAAACATTTTGAAGATTATAATGACTAAAAAAGTTCACATATTTTTTAATTACAATTTTGAGCTTCGGAGCTTCTATATGTCCTAAAACAATACTTCGTTTTGATTTGGAAATGCATACATGACATGCCAAAATTAAGCATTAATTAGTGTAATTGATATTTATCTTGATTTAATATATATACTTCTAGTCCTCTTATCCAACATCCAACGTTTCGAAATATTTGTTAGCTTTTTCTTTTATTTATAGTATATACGAGTAACATATTTTTATCTATGCATATTCAAAAATTTGTTTGCATTAACATTAACAAGCAATTAAATTAATTAATCATTTCTATTCAAACAAAAAAAATTAATTAATCATTTCAACAATTTCCCATAATGCTAGCTATTGGATTACCAACATTAATTTTAGCAATATTAATAAAATAACAAAAAGAAAAGAGGAAACATAAAGAATCTTAATAACATGCACTAATCTTAATTAACGAATATAAGTTATAAAATATGATGCAGGAAAACACACACCTTAGAGGAGAAGTGAAGGCAAAGTCCACCCAACGCCGTTGATGGGGGACCCATTTTATAATCCGGCCATCGGAAACGCCAGCATACGGCCCGTCTCCGGCAGGGTCAAACGTGAGACTTTCGGGCCCGAAAGCGCCTTCTATAGGTAGAAACTCTAGCTCCGAAAATTTTGAACCAGAACGAAAATATGTGGTTATTAGAAAGGCGCATAAAAGAACAATTGTAGAAGATGTCAAAAACTTTAATGGCTTCATTTTTTATATAGATAAATTATTTACTACTATATCATAGTAAAATTATGAATTTATTTTGATAGTTTTGGTTGAAGAATATATATAGAAGAGAGAAAAGAAGAGAAAGGTGGAGGTCGAGTATGAATATATAATAAGGTTTATTAGGGGTAATGAAAATAAGAAATGTAAGGGAATATGTTTGATATTTTTGTGATAAGATTTGGTGTAACAAACGGATACTACCAAATACAAGAATTTGAATACTCAAGTAAAGCCATAATTCTTTCAACCTTATTAGGAAATTGTGGGTCCTTAAGTATGCATGTAATGATATAACATAATCCATCAAAAGAAACAAAATTGTAAAAAGTGTACTTCATCTCAATGTTTCAAAAAAAAACTTAAGAGTTTTGTTTCAAAATTTATTAGATATCATTAAAAATGTCATTTTATCAAATGTTAGATAGGGATGGGAATGCATGCGTAAGGTTCAATTAGGTTTTAATAATACATACTACGTATATTCGGATCCTAAAGTTTTAATCTATACCTTGTACACGTATCCTAGTGGCCAATCAGGTTACTTACCCGATACTATATAAGCCCTTGTCCTTCTTAAACTGATAAAATTTTAAAAAAACTAGGCCGGACTCGTAGTCTCGTACCCTTATTTCATGGTAGATTCATTAAAGATATTTCGGCTTGGATTTTTTTTTTTTCAATCATATTTACTTCAACTTGAAAATATGTCACGTATAGATCGGTAAAATAAAGATAAGGGTTATTAAGTTGAGATAAAGATAAAATAAATTTTATTAATTTAAATAAGGTTTAATAACACCAATTTATTCTCTTGAGTAATCAAATAAGACCTAGATCCAATGAATTCAAGTCTGGGTCCCAAAGTCTTTAGACCCAAACTCTACCAAGGTTTAGCATAATATTCATAGTTTATACAAAGTATAGCGGTATAGGGTTTAGACTTTAGACCACACTCTAACTATGAAAGAGAGTTCACTTTACAAGTCCAAATGAGGTTTTATCCCAAAACCATATAAAATAAGAGTAATCTATTAAGTTTATAACTAGATTAGCTTCCGTGCGATGCACAGATATTAAAAAAAAAGCTATTTAAATAATACTCCATAAAAAAATCATAAGATATTAGGTAAATAGTTGTCAAATGGCTTATTAAAAAAATTGTGAAGAGTTTAATGTACAGTATTATGTATTAAAATATTTTGTAGTCAATATTTAATTCTTTTTTTTTTAAAGAGAAGTATTAGTTAAAAAAATGTGAAAGAGAAAAAAAAAATTAGTTTAGGCTGGAAAATTTTGAAAGAGAAGTTGACCGGTGAACAATTTGTATAATGGATGATGTCAGCGGTTGTTTTTTTAGTTATTTAGTAAGTATTAGTTATAGAAGTGTTCAACTCTCTCTTCTTTTCTCAACGTGAAACACTTACATGTGTTGTTTGGGAAATTTATATTTCAACATTATGTGATCAGTGATTGTTCCACATATAATTGATACTTATCAACTGTGTTATCTAGGTTATGCATTTTATCTCAAGTACTTGTGTCGAATCCTCAACACTCACACATACGGTAGATAAGAACCCCTTTGACGCTTAAATTTAAACCAAAATCTTAAAAATAAAAAGTCACAAAATAATTGAGTTCGAACACTTAGACACATATACCCATATCGAACATGGGATAGGGTAGCTATAATCCGAGCAACATAGCTGTTCAATTTCACTCACTGGTTACTTCAATTAATTACCAAACCTGAATGCCCATGTCTGCTGTTTCCTTTGATTTAGGCATCTTCTTTACAGAACAGTAACATCTTATACTTCTTCATCAGCTGACCTTAGTTATAACTCAGCTTTTATTTAATATCACCAAGATAGCATAATTTGAACTAATAATATGATAACAAAATCCGACAGAAGTACAATTTTGAAGAATAAGGATACACAAGTGATGATCCTGGCACTCTTTATTATTACTGGTAATATCTCCTAATCTCTACATCATATGCACAGAAACAGTACTTGGGTTAATTCGTTAATCCAAATCATAAACCCAAGCAGAAGGCGTAATAGGAGAACCAATCCATAACTTCACTAGCATACCTCACTTGCTTCCCTTGAGTATCTTCTAAAACCTCGACAACTTGTCCTTCTTCACTCAGCTTCACAATTATACCATGGTGCCCTCCCACGAACAAAGCATGCAGTCGTTGTACAAACCTAAGCGGGATCTTAAGCAATGTATTTCCTACCCAAGTGTTTCTAAGAAGCCAATCAGCCAAAGGAGTTTTCTTGGCGTGTAAACCAACCCAAAACTCACCCTTTGAGTTTCTTCTTATATTGTCAGGATATCCAGGCAAATCTGTGAAAGTTTCAACTAGTCCTGCTTTTGGACCCTGAAGCCAATACCTTAAGATTTTGCAGGTGCCAGTTTCAGCTACAATCACAAATGATCTGTCTTTGCTCAATGAAACTCCATTTGCAAAGGCGATGTCACGTAGTAGGACAGTTACTTCTTTGGATAATATGTTGTACTTGATGAATCTGCCTGTCTTGTCTCCACTTAGAATTGATGGTATGAAGTGCCTGCAAAACAAAGAACAGTTTGTAATAATACTCTTACAATGAAGCTACAAGGCTGCTTTCTAGCTTAAAACAAAGTAAGTTTAATCAACTTTCCCATATTTCCCCTTTCATAATTTCCTAATACTGTAAGAATTATTTGGAAAGATCACATTGGTATAGTGGAATTATATTACAGTGCAAAAAGGTGCTTTAGCTAAATTCCTTAAAACATACCCCAAATCATGTGGCCTATTAATTTGAGAATACATCTTTTAGCGATAGAGAAATGAATTATACTGCATTCATGGGGGTGATTAATGACTAATTCACAGTTACACAGTAGTTATATACTTATATACAACTGACTGAAATTCTGGTCACACCAACAGAAACAAAGGGATGGGATGATATGTCTGAAATTGAAACAGTATCGCGCACTCACTATGTAGATGTGAGTATGTGACAAATGACCCGAAAGGTCTCATAAGAGCAGAAAAAGAGCGAGCCAAACAATGACCCCTCTCCCCGGAGGTTTTCATTTAGGTTGTCTTTGGATAAAAGGTTTACCTTTTCCACATAAGACCTAACCAGTTTTCCAATATTCCCCTGTTTTGTTTGTCAAGGGGTGGAAAAAAAAATGGGGGTTCAAAATATTTTGTCATTTTCAACAATAACCTCCCCATCCCTTATTTTCCTCCTCTTCTCCACTCAATCCCATCACAATGTACCTACCATAATTCAGTTCAAAATGTTTCCCTCCTAAGTCCTAACCAATTTGTTCAGCTACTGAACAATATTGTATATTTTGTTCAGCTACTGAGGCTATAAGGTTAATGAAATCAGCATAACCGCAGCTACTGAACAAGTCCAAGAAAGGTGAAGAAGTCCAAGAAAGGTGAAGAAGATGTGACTCAATTTGTTCAGCTACTGAACAATATTGTATATTTTCCTTTCGTAGGAAAATCTACTCCTGTCATTGTCCAAGGAGGGTGGGATCCGCCCCCTACCACCAAATGTAACGAAAGTGTTGAAAGATAAATCCCCACAAGCACAATTAGTTTTCTCATGCAAAAACATCAACCCTCTAGCCACATCCCTACAATTACAATGACCAAAAACATAATTAATAAACATATAATGTATGTGTTAGAAACATTCAATTCCTATAATGAAAAAACAAATGAAAATTCTGCATGGTACTTTACTGCTTTGAAAATTCTATGTGTAACCCTTACTGATAATATTATTTGCATGGCATCATAATTTGTCAATTTTTAGTCTTACAAATATAGTATATGCTTCTTTTTAGCTATGCATTATGAACATTTGCTCGGTAATAAACCCAATCTAATAAGAACCACTTTACAAATTCATTTAGTTTACATAATGAGAGTTATATAAGCAAACAATAAGTACACTCCCATGAAATAAACAATTCAAATCTTATTTAAGCTCGTATGACCATTAAAGGTCCAAAAAGCTTCATCTTCTTTTCCTTTCTAATAATATGCAAGAATTCTGTAGGTACATCATAAAAGTATCTAAGAGAGATGCATGTTCAACTATTGCACATATATATAGTACACACCAAATAAAACAAAGACCTATACACGTGTCCCTTTTCCAACTCTCTCTTCACTTCTCATCAACACTATCTATACATGTGGCTATCCCCAAGTTAAATGTTCAATGAACATTATACTTTTGTTGACTTGAGTGCAACCCTTCCCACCTCACTTTTTTTTCCTTTTTCCTCCTCACCATATTATTTTTTCCCTTCATTCACACTTTTTTTTTTTCCAATCTCTTGCTTCCCTTCACTATTTGCTCAATTCACTAACCTTGACACCTTCGAGCATGTCTACATTTCTTCCGTCGATCATCTCAATATGCTCAAACACGATATTCATCTTCAATTTCATGCTCTTATTTGTGTCTACCATAAAACCCTAAAAATTTAAGAATTGATGGTGATTTGGGCAAATTAACAGGTTCTTTTTTATTGGGATGTTGTGATCAATTGGACTTTGAGATTTTTAAGCTACTGTTGTTTGTGAAAATTTGGTTTTTGAGGGTGTTTACCTACTACCTGCTAGGTATGTGACCAATAAGGCTTTGATAAATTAAATCTTAAAAAACTCAATTTCATGGATTTGAATTGAACAATATGGTAGATATTAACATAGTTACATAGTCATATGTAGCTCCCTTGAACCACGTGTCTATATTAGAATTTTGGAACAAATTTTATGATATTATGTCCCTTTGTATTGCAGCTTAGTGCCAACAAATTAGGTTCGTTTACTCTTTCTTGCTCATGTAACTACCATGACTTACTTTCATTTTAAGTTATCATTGCAACTAATTCCTTAAAACAGATTTCTGCCTTTTTTGGGGGACCATTTGTGATCAACTCGTGTTTTAAGAACTAGGTTTTTTAGTCTTTTACCAATAATAACCCCATATAGGTATTTTAATTTATCCCAAGTACACATATAAAGCAAACTACTAAAACTATGAAAAACTTCCTCTCGAGGTTGCCACTCAGGTAAGATAGTACTAGTTCCACCATCCTCTCTGATTTCCATGTCACTATTTCACAAAGAAGGAAAAAAGTTTATTTTAAATTTTTATAAAAGAACATTAAAATAATGTAAAGTATTATAACTAACCTAATAGATTTTAAAGCTTCCTTGAGGTTTTCTTCCATAACCTTTGTGACATTTTCTACATTCTTCATCTTTTTTTTTTTTTTTTTTTTGCCTCATTTTATTTTGAGTATCTTCAGCTTTCTTTTTCTCCCTCTCCTCAGCCTCAATTAGCTTTTTTGCTTCATCAAGACAAAATTTAAATTGATCGTTAAAAGGTAAATATTATCTAACTTTTTTTATTAGTGAAAATTTAAATATTTTATTCATCATACCTCTTGCCAATTTTTCAGCTTCTATTTCTTTTGTTATCTTGGTGATAGAACACTCAAGGGCATGTTTCAATTCTGGTTCAATTTGTGGCTTGTTCAAACCTATAGTACAAGCAACAAGGGCATCATCTAACATCCCTCTCTTGAACTTTCCAGCCCTACATAAACAAATAAGTTAACATTATTTTCTTTATTTAATTAAAAAAAAAAATCATTACTCATGGAATTGAAAAAGTGAAAATATTGAAATATGCCCAAATATATAATAGGATTCTGCATTTTGGAATTCATAATCATCTCCTTGCAACGATCTGCATCTACAAAGAGCTTCAAACGCCTCTACAACAATAAATTTAATGGGATTAAATATATGATATATCTAACAAATTTAAGAAATAACAAAAAAAAAAAAAAAAGAAAAAAAAAGCGTAACTTACTATCATAATCTGTGTCATTGAATGTACCACAGTAACAATGAGCAAGTAGCTCAAGTAAAGAACAAACGTTATCTACATTTTCCATCTTGCGAACTTCTTTATTAATCAAATCAATTGCTTTATGATACGATTTAGCATTTTTCAGCGATTCAATAATCGGTAGAACAATACTCATCCTCAGTGAATCCCCCATGTTTGATCTGCAGAGACAAAATTAATTAAATTGTACAGAGAAGAGAGCATATTTGACAAATTGGTGTATAAATTTTATCTTCTTCAGTTTTTTTTAACTTCGCCACCTTAAAACTATCAATTTTTTCAAGAATATAAAGTCTAGAAATTCACATGAATTTGGGATTTTTCTAAAGTTGTTTGATTTGCAATGTTGGGAAGTAACTTCCCATATAAATTCCTATTTACCTAGGGGAAACTAGGTAATTAAATTCCTATATTTTGTGGGAAGTAAAAATTCCTTGGATTTTCTACTTTCCCCATTCCACCATTTTTTTTTTGGTTAACCAAACAACTATCCCTAGTTACAATCCCTACGATTTTCCAATTCCCATATTTTCTTATGCCAACCAAACATCACCTAAATTATATCAATATTTCATTTCCATGATCCCAAACTATTTGAAAATTTACTTTTCCTGGTTTCCTCATTCTCTCGTTTCTGATTCTGTTTCCGCATCCGTTTCCATTTCCTGATTCTGTGCAACTTAGATTATCAAATTAAACTTCAAATTTAACATACAAATGTTTCTCGCTTAAGAATATCTGCGTAAATTTGGGCCGTTTTTATCAACAACAAAAAAAAAAATGAATATCTAAGTAAAGTTGTACAATAGTTAAATTCTAGCAATGACATTGCTAGTTATAATATTTCATAACTTGAGTTATTAAAACCGAATAGTTCAATAATCCACTTTAAAAGAACCCTAAATTGAATATACTGACAATTAAAATAACAATAAACCCTACATTGTGATATTGATATTCGATTATTAAAAATAAAAATCTTACCTCAGATGCTGCTACAAGGGACGAGCGAGCGCTCAGAAGCCGCTTCAATGGAGAATTCAGAGTACCATTCAATGGAGAGAGAGAGGCGCAGTGTAACAGTGAAAAGCTCCAAACTTCTTCTGGCTTAATATCATCAACATAAAAGGTGCACACAGCAAAACTCTAGCAACAAAATCACTCGTTATAAACTTTCATAATTTCAGTAAATATTTCAATAATCCACTTTAGAAGAACCCTAAATTGAGTATACTGACATTTAAAATATACATATATACCCTAAATTGTGAAATTAATATTACACACCCAAAAAAAACAAAAAAAAAAACCCTCACCTAAGGAGCTGCCTCGTTGATGGGAAAAAATCTCAGGAGCCACTTTAACGGAGAATTTAGGAGGAGAGAAAGCTCAGAAACCGCTTTAATGGAGGTTTTAGAGTAGCTTCAATGGAGGAGAAAGAAAGAGGCTCAGCATAAAAGTGGAACAGGGAAGAAAAGTGAAAAGGCAGGAGGAAGAGTATTTGATACGCATATAATGTGAATCGTAAGATCTAAACATTATCAACGGTCAAGGATCATTCTTGGTTTTTTTTTTTTTTGACGGGAGGATATTGTTATTTCAAACAAGGTAAATAAGGATTATTTTGACATCCATATTGGCTATAAATAGTGGTGTCAAATTGGGTAATCATATAAAGTTTGGGTTGATCCGTAATGGTTCGGATAATAACGGGTCATTTTATTCTAATAGGGCAAATTAAGTTGGGTCGAGCTTGATTAAAATCAAGTCAAATTAAGAGCTCTTAATTGAACGTGCTGTAACAAAACATTAGTGAATCGTAAACGGCGCCCACAAATTTATCACAATCAGTCACAATATTTAGTGAACTTCTAATTATATCCTTTGTCTTCCTCCCTCTCCTAACACAACCACCACCACCCATCACAACCTCTTTCGGCTACCCTCTCCTCGAGGTATGATTTGAGCCCTTTTTCCAAGTTTGTGATTTGCACCATCTCCATCACCGCTAACATGACGCATAGTCATTATTGTAGATATTCATTAATATTAAACATAGTAATAACCAACATTGTAAATATAATAAACATAAAATCCAACATTATTAACTATTAACTACCAAAAATTGAATTTTTCTAAACATTATTCTAATTATATCAACTTAAAAACCAAAATTATATTATTGAATTTCCTAAATATATTTTTATTTAATATTAACTTAAAATTAATAAATATTCAACTGAAATCATGGTCAAGCCGTCCATAACTCAGTACGAAAGAAAAAAAAAAGGAAAATAAAAACACAAAGGTAGAGGAGGTGAAACTTGATCGTGAACCGACAGGTGAGGAGGTGAAACAAGCACTTTTCTAGATGCACCCTAATAAAGCTCCCGGAGTTGATGGTATGCACGCTCTTTTCTTTCAGAAATTTTGGCATATTATAGTTAACGGTGTTGTGCATTTTGTGAAGGAATGGTGGATATTTAGAATATAAATAGGACGTGCATTATGTTGATTCCAAAATGTAATGATCCTAAATTTATGGGTGAATTTAGGTCGATTAGTCTTTGCAATGTACTCTACAAAATTATTTCGAAGACCTTGGCAAATAAATTAAAACCCTTCCTTGACTCTATCATCTCTATTAATCAGAGTGCTTTTGTTCCTGGGAGATTGATCTCGGATAATGCTTTGGTGGCTTTTGAGATCTTCCATGCTATGAAACGGAGGGGGGAAGGGAAAAATGGCAATGTAGCTCTGAAATTGGATATGAGTACAGCATATGATCGGGTGGAGTAGACTTTTTTGGAGAGAATGATGTTGAAGATGGGATTTAGTGTCGGATGGGTTCAAAAAATTATGGGTTGCCTTTCAAGTGTTTCTTTCTCGTTTAAGATAAATGGGAAGATTTCGGGGTCTGTTATTCTGACTAGAGGCCTTCGTCAAGGTGATCCGATATCCCCGTATCTTTTGCTGCTATGTGCTAACGTATTTTCTACTCTGATTGCAAATGCAGAAAGACATGGGTTGATTCATGGTGCTAGAGTTTGTAGAGGGGCACCTCGGGTTTCTCATCTTTTCTTTGCTGATGATAGCATTCTATTTGCTAGAGCAAATTTGCATGAATGCTCTAAGATCGCTGATATAATCAGTATTTATGAGAGAGCATCCGGACAAAAGGTTAATCTAAGCAAAACTGAAGCGACCTTTAGCAAATGTGTAAATGTTGATCGGAGGAAAGATATAGTGGAAACGTTGGGTGTTAGGGAGGTGGTTAAACATGAGAAGTATCTAGCTTGGATTGCCAACGATCATCGAATAGTCTAACAAGATCATTTTTGCTGGACTCAAAGAGAGGTTATGGAAGAAATTGAATGGGTGGAAAGAAAAGTTGATGTCACGGGCCGGAAAGGAAATTCTGATTAAAGCCGTCGCACAAGCCATTCCGACTTATATGATGAGTGTGTTCCGTATGCCGGATGGTTTGCTTGATGATATTCATGCTCTTATTGCCCGATTTTGGTGGGGGTCCACAAATGCTACTCGTAAGATGCATTGGCACAGTTGGGATTCTATGTGTATGCCTAAATCGATGGGAAGGCTGGGGTTCCGTGATCTCAAGTCTTTCAATCAAGCTTTGCTGGCAAAACAGGCATGGAGATTGCATAATGATACAAATTCTCTACTGCACTCGGTGTTGAAGGCCAGGTACTATAAAAATGATGATTTTTTGGAATCAAAAATAGGTTACGACCCGAGCTATACTTGGAGTAGTATCTGGGGTGCTAAACCTCTGTTACTAGAGGGTTTAAAATGAAGGGTGGGCAATGGGCAGAGCATCCGGGTATGGGAAGAGGCGTGGCTGCCAGGTGATAGTGCATCAATTGTGCCAACTCCGAACATAAATGCAGACCCTAATCTTCGTGTCTCAGACTTAATTGATTTTGACAATGTGAGATGGAATGAGGAACTCATCAGGAGTATTTTTTTGGAGGATGAATGTGAGCTAATTTTGGATTTACCCCTGTCAGAATTTTGGTCTGCTGATCAGAGATATTGGTGGCCTACGAAGAATGGGTGCTACACTGTCAAATCAGGCTACCTACTTGCAAGGCTTGGGAAGCAACGTGCATGGTCTTTGTCTCATGGGGTCCTTGAAGAGGAACTATGGAAGAGAGTATGGGGAGTCAAGGGTCCTCTTAAATTGCAACATTTTGTGTGGAGAGGGTGTAAAGGGAGTCTTGGGGTCAAGGAGAGGCTGTGGGTTCGTCACATTGTTAATGACAGCATTTGCCAAGGGTGTGGGGCTGCTACAGAGACCATCAATCATGCTCTTTTTGACTGTCTTGATGCAACAATTATTTGGTCGTATAGTGCTTTCCAGGACCTGTTAGCTTATGCCCCTAATTCCTCGTTTTGTGATCGTTTTTTGTGGGTGGCAAATAGACTGAGCAAAAACGAACTGAGTCTCTTCTGTATGCTGTGTTGGGCTGCTTGGTTTTGTAGAAATTCAAGAGTGCATAATGAACTTGTGGCTGATCCGAGTGGTGTTGCTGCAAATTTCACCAAGATGCTTAATGATTATAAGGAGTATGCGGAAAGGGTGTTTAGGCCAGCTGGGTCATGTGATGTTGCTCCCCTTGGGACGTGGCATCTTCCTGCTGCAGGCAACATTAAGGTGAATTTCGATGCCCATCTCGCTGCAAATAATATAATTGGTTTGGGTGTGGTGTTGCGGGATGAGGCGGGGAGCATTATTGCAGCAGCTGTTTAACGTATGAAGGCACGATGGAGTGTTGAACAGGCTGAAGTAGCTGCTGCCAGGTGGGGGATGCAGATTGCAAAGCAGTTGGGACACTTGAGGATTGAGCTTGAATGTGACGCAGCTAATGTAGTGAACATCATCAACAAAAATGATATGGGGTACTCAACCTTAATGCTTTTCTATGAGGATATTAGAAGATTGAAAGAAGTTTTTTTATTTCTTTAAATGTAGTCATGTCCGTAGATCGGGTAATACCTTAGCTAGCACACTTGATTGCTAGACATAGTACAAGTGAATCTCCGCATGTATGGTTTAACGATTTCCCCCAAAGCCTTCTTACTTTGGCGGAAATTGATATAATTTAATAAAATTGCCCGACTAACGGTTTCTTCAAAAAAAAAAAAAAAAAAAAAAAGTAGAGGAAGCTGATGTGGCACATGAAGGGCAATTCCGTCCGGACACTATTCATTTGCTAATGCTCCGCAATATAAAGGGTAGAAAAATAAAAGTAAATGAAATAATAAAAAGTCTTAGGGTTTCATTCATCTCACCGTTTAATCAAAAGTCCCCAATTTCCTTCTCTGTCTCTGTTTCTCTATCTCTCTTTCTCAGGTATGATTCCTAATTCTCTCTGAAATAATTTATCAGGTCGATTGTAGCATATGTTTGATGAATTTCTGTATTCGATGATTGTTTTGATGTGAAATTATGGATTATAAAATTAATTAATTCTTCGGTTGTTTGATTTTATGTGATGTGATAATCTAGAAAAATCATGATGAGTGGGTGATGTTAATTTGAATTTTATGTGATGTAATAAACTAGTTGTGTTTGTGTTATGATTAGGGGAAAAAATAGGACGGAGGAGAAGAGGTGGTGGGTCAACTCAAAGGAAGTGGCAGAGTATCGAACAAGGAATGGAAAGAAAGATTCTGGTGCGGTCATTGAACAATATTAAAGATAAGGTACAATACCAAAACGAAGATGGTAATATGGTAATACAACTACACCTGCCTTAATGGGGATGTCTACTGTATTGGAAATGTCCTTGCTCCAAAGGTTCTTCATGTCGATACCAACAATCGCATTCTAATTCACTTGAATGACGGTCAGCTTTCCTCGTCTTCCCTCTATGCCTTTTATCCTCCCACTCATGGTACAGAGTACAGGATGCTGCACTTCTTGATGGTGTCCTCTATCTTCATGCCCATAAACTTCGCAATCTTGTTCATGCATATGAGGTTGCCACCTCAAAGTGGTTTGACGTGCAGTGGTCCACTCGGGTTATTGAAAAAGATTTCTCTGTAGATGATTGTACCTTTAGGTTTGATTCGCTGTTTTGTCTAGACGACACCAACAAAATCTTGTGCTTGGCCTTTTACTCGCCTGTAGTGCCGATTGTTCCAGGTGGTGATCGATGTGATCGTAGCTTACCTACCAACACCACTCTTCTCTTCTTCAAGTTTAAAGCGGAGCGTTGTGGTTCCACCATAACCCTCACTCCCCTTTATACCCGCTCATATGAAATTTTATCCACTTACCAAGTGCTTGACTTCCTCCCGCTTTAGTGAGTGCCCTCATCCCTCTTCTCAACTCTCTCTTATATGCATAAATTGATTGTTTCTTTTCATATTCTCTTTGGCTTGTTGACCTTGTGCTGTTGCAAATTCATGTTCATTGTTGCTAAAACGTGATTGTACATGCTCTATAATTTAATTTGAAGATTTGTTTGATTTTTATGTATCGCCTTTAATTTTCATAGAAATTCAAAAAACTTCCATCTTTATACCTATCCATCGATTTACCTCCATTAATCTTCAATTTCTTTTTTCTCCTTTATTCTTAGATAATCCTTCCTGCCTCCCTTATTTTTTCCCCTTATTGTCCCATCTTCTCTAAACAAAGCTCTTCTATGTGCAATTGATGCATGATAAAAAATTGTATGTAACTTGCAATTATTGCATTGATCTATGTCAACTTAGACAAGTTTAGATGAGGACAGTCATTCTGACTGACTATTTTCATCTAATTATGGTTAGCTAGCTAGTAGCTTCGATTAGAGCTTCATCTGTTTTTACAATCTCTGGTGTGCTTTGCCATGTAGGAGCAATAAATTAAGGTTTGCAGATCCCTAGAATAAAAAAGGTAATAAGAGTAGACGAATTTCAAAGTATACACGATCCTTCAAAAACACGCATAATATTTTAACATTAATATCGCGAGCAATAAAATAAGATCCAACTTTCTAATATGAACTTGTTTACAAAGTTGTTCATAGGCACTACATTTTGGCCAGTTTTATTAGGATATTTCTGCTGAATGAGTATTTCCAAAATTTGTCGGATAGTTGGTACTTTCTTCTTTCTCCATCAATACGTGATTTCTTATTTCTCTCCTCCCACATTCCTTACTTTTTAGTAATAAACTATTATCCCATTATCTCTTTTCTTTAATTTTTAATTTCTCAATAAACTCTACTTCTACAATATTTTACTCTATCCAACTCGCCTAGATAAAACGTTGTGACAGTCAAAATGATACACTTAAAAAAAAAACCGGGGGAAGTATGACACATGGAGTAAATGAATTTCCCTTTAAATAGTAGACACTATTGATAATATTGGAATTTTTTTTTTTATTTTTATTTTTTATCAATGCTTAAGTAATCTCCCAATCCAAAATATTATAATATACTTCCTCCGTTTATTTGCATCACTTTCTAATTAAGAAAGTTTTAATTTAGATGCATCACTTTCCTTCCTAATTTAAAAATTCTATCTATCTCTCTCCAATCATATGGGTCTTATTTATCAATTCTCTCCACATCTCTCTACTCCAAAAATTGCCTAGGAGTCCATAAAAACCAAAATGATGCAACTAACAAAAACGTTGGAAGTATATAGATTTTTAGGGCAAAATGAAAAGTTCCTAAAAATGAGAAAGATGAGAAGGATTTTATGTGCATATATTTTATACTGAATGTGCATATTTTTTTTAACTAAATGTGCAAAAAAATTGACTAAAATTCAATGTGCATATTTTTTTGTGTATAATGTGCATAAATTTTCGTTTATTCAGATTGTTAAAAAAAAGTAGCAGGTTGAAAATCAAATTTGCATATTTAGTAGATAATATATACACATTTAGTTCAAAATATATGCACATTTATCTCTTTTTATTTAAAGAAACTTCTCATTGAATCTCAAATCTACGGTAAGAATAAGTCCATATGTGAGAAGTGAACCCATAATTATATGAAAACTAATCTAAGATTTAGAACATTTGTGGAAAAATTTAGAATAAATGACTAAATGAGTAATAATTTAGAACATTTGATTTAAGAACTAAAACATGTGAGTAAAAATTTAAAAAATTTTATTTATATAACTTAAAATATATAAGTATAATTTAGAACATCTAATTTAAAATTTAGAATATATGAATAAAAAATTCCCATATATACAAACAATTGACCCTCATTAAATCATTAATCCTAGCTATCAATACTATAATTGTACAAATATTTGTAGGTCACATCAGCATCGAACATAAGACGAGTACCCAAAATACAAGTACTTGGTACTAATCTAGGGTGCAGCAGGTGGGTGTGTGGGTTGTGAGGCTATTTACGGCGTGCAAGTGCAGGCAAGATCCCCAATTATTTTCAAAGTTTCCCAGAGATCTTCCAAGCGCTGTTGCAAGAAAGAAGACCTGTACATGGTATCGCCAACAATTAAGGGCATGCAATTAGTTGTCCTAATGACCCAATGTCAGACATTCTCTGGCCAAAACTCTCTGAAGAATGCTTGACGAACTTCATTCTCTCGCCGGCGCTTTTCTTCATCCAGCATTTTCCGCACCCTTTTAGAGAGTGCTTTCTCCTTTTTTTGACATTTTCTCCTGTCACAAATAGCAACAGAATTAGCAAGAGAGAGGACTCGATGATCTAAGGATTGGACTAAGGCCCACAACCAATTAATAAATTAATTAATCAATATTAAGCGATACTCAGTAGTTACACAGCACCACCAGCAGTTTCCCCTCCCCCCCCTTCTGCGTCCCCACTCAAGGCGACATTTTCATACTACTGTATTCCATAGATTACATGCATTTCCAAACAGCATAATTGAAAAAAAAAAAAGAGCAAAACCCAATACAAATACTCAATAGAAAATTCCTACTCTGAACAATGAGGATTGTCTCCCATAACAAAACAGGCAGCGCAAAAGTAAAAGTGTCATGGAGTCGCATTTTGTGCAACTACAAAGAGGGCATAGCTTATTCAGCTACTTAAAATATATGATTCAATAATGAGGGTTGAGGAGTTTACTTCACCACGCAACCTTAATGATTCAATCTGACCAAAAATAATAGGACCTTGAGAATACTACTCGAAGGCAATTTAAATCTGACTCAAAAATATACACACCAGAATATGGCATGGTAATACAGAATCCACCTCCACAACCAATCCTTGTCCACCAGCTCAAGAAACACAGATACTGACCACACTACTCAGGACCTCACATGTTCACATAATCGGTAGACTTGGGATAGATAACAATCTTGGTGGCAAAGAAATGCAGGTAAATAATATTGCAAGAAAATTGCAGGTGGAGCTTGAACAAAAGTGCACAACAAAACCATAACTTCGCATATATAATATAGTTGAGCTTGTTCTAACCAAATAGTAAACAAAGTTCATGCATCACATCATCTGCTAGAGGGAAAATCGGAAAAGTCAATGAAATCCTCTTTATTTTAAAATTTCAATCCTAAAGCAGTAATCACAATAGTAAAGATAATAATTGGTTTTCTTAAAAAGCGATAACTTCATCGACAGCCCCAAATGAAGAGCTGAACAATGAGAAATCATCAAGCAATAAAAAGTAAATACACTACAAGAACAACAAAATTTCAAAAAAAAAATATTAAAACACAAAGGTAACCATATTCACTGCTACTTGTACGTCATATATATAAAGGAAACTAAGCAATAATCTCCTACTCTTTAAAAAAAGAAAAAAGGAAACTATATCCTCTTTGTTTATGATTTCGACAATCACACAATTCCATCCCGAAATTCTCCATATTCGAAAAAATAAAAGTAATAAGCTAAAAATTTAGTTGACAGCAACAACACAGGATTGAGTTCTGTAAAAGAAGCAGGTGAAACTTACAGTTTTCTCCTTCTCTCCAGAGGTGGTTGTAGTGGATGATTGCAAAGCCTTCTTTTTCCACTTTTCTGCCCCTAAACCTCTTTTGTTCTTTTTAACATATGTTTTTACAGGCTCCAACCTACCCTGTTAACGCCATAGATCACCAATTAAGACAGCATTATATTTTGATTTTCAAAACTACAAGCAGATACATGCACAGCATGAAACAGATAGATAAACAGGTATTTACAATTCAAACCAATACAAATAAGCCTCTACCCATAAATTTTATGAGAGATGCCGGTTGCAGTCTTTTACCATATTTCGTTATGGCATACACAAGAAAAAGTATGCTAAGGTCCTGAATGGGGTTCGGTACAATATGGCACCCAAAATGCAACCAAATACTTTGTATGATACAAAATCATGTTCAATAACCACTATATTCATAGAGTGAGTCAATTCAAAGGGAAAAACACAGAAGGCTTCAAAAGCTCATAAAGCAAAATAATCCATGAATTTAACAAATATTTCAAATCTCTTGTTTTATATTGATCCATTCCTCAATTAGAACTTGGCTCCAACACAACTAAAAAAAACACACACACACACGAATATTTGGGTATGAAGATTCAGATAGGAAAGAAAAAGAACAAGCTCAACAAAATATTCAACATCGTGCAAACAAATAACACAGAAATAATATACAAGTATACAACAATACAAAGAGAAAGAAAATCAACTATGTCGAGGAAAAGAAAAAAAGTCGAAAATTAGCAACAGACAATGAATGCATCCCCACAATAAAGAGAACATCCCCTCAAACTCCACTATACTATAACCGATCAATACCTAGTGATAAAATAGACAACATTACCCTTAATCCCTTTTCTTATCCACATCTGTATTATCTAATACGCACTATTAATATACTTCGTAGTTAAATTTTTGAGTTGAAAATATCAATAAAAATTGACAAAATCAAACATCCATACGGAGTACTCCGTATTATCTACTCCGTAATGCTTTGTATCTAGCAACCGCTCATTGCGTATTTATGTGTGCATACTGCATAGCATTAAAAAAACGCTCCTCTCTCTTCCAACATGCCAATTTAATTTCAAAGCGAAGGAGTAATTCACAACTTGGCAATCTAAGTAGTAAAATTAAGTCTTTCCACAGTAAACCTAAGGTTTTGTGCAAACAAAAATCACAGTAAACAAAAATACATATATACACTATAATTCGTACATAGTTTTCAAGGTGAAACTTCAAATAATGCAACTCTTAAATCTATTCTCTCATTTAGTAATTCATCTAGTTTTCTTTTAAACTCGAAATTCATATTTGATAGAGTTCCAAAAAAAGCCCTAAAATTATTTATTTTTCAAAAAAAAAATAAAAATTGAAAAAACTGGAAGTATGAGAGAAAAAGACTGCAATTTGATACTAATTAAATTAATTTCAAACAATAAAATCAAAACCCATAATCAATAATTATAATTACACAAATTAATAAAACAAAGGAGAAAGAAAATAAAACTAACCTTTTGTGTGGGAAATTTTTGGGGATGTATGGGGTATTTATAAGAGAGAGGGTAGTAGGGTAAGTAGGGATATTGGGCCTCATTAAATTAATGGGTCAATTAAGAAAGTAAACTGGGTTTGGTTTGTTTGTTGGACATAAATTATCGAAGGAAGGTTCATAAAAAGTTCTTTGTAATAAAATCGTTTATCAACCCCAAAAGTAATTTGAAACTTTTGAAATTAAATTCCGGAAAAATACAAATAAATATTATAAATAATATATAATTTCATTTATAATATATTTAAAAATATGGGGGATTACAATCTACCCCTCTTAAAAGAAGTTTCGTCCCGAAACTTAGCACAAAATCCCTTAAATTGCAAAACATTTGCATAAAATCATTCAAAATTTTCAAAATTATGTTGCTGGAATTCCAATTGTGTCATAATATTGACACTAATATCTTATCACCATCCAATTTACGTACTTCACTAGATACGTAAACAATAAAATAGTTATGAAAAGCATGAAAACACCATAAAATAACATAAAATAGGGCAAAAAGCGCGAAATTATACGCATTCTACCCCTCTTAAAGAACAAGAGTTACGCCCTCGTAACTCACCTCATTAAATAACTCAGGATATCTCTTTCTCATATGATCCTCGGTCTCTCAAGGGCTCATATTTTTCCTCAAAATTCGAGTATAACAAAATATCATCAATAAAAAAAACAACTACAAACTTACTCATGGAATACTCGATTCATCAAGTCTATAAAGATTGCAGGTGCGTTGGTCAACCAATCTATTCTTAAAATGACATCAAGGTCACCCAACTCAAATTCTATAAGATCAAATGGAAAATCAGTCTCTCTAATCCTCAATGGTTATCCCTTATGTATCTTGGTGCACCTCACAACTTCACCAGTGGCAAACTAATAGGCAAGTCAATCGGATTTGGTTCAACTAGTCCTAAGTGTTTCACAACAGAACTAGAAATAAAAGAATAGGTGGCTCCAGAATCAAATAAAGCTTTAATAGAAATAGAATGAATAGAAAAGTTACCAGTGACAACATCAGAAGACCTTTCAGCTTCCTTCTTGTTCATCACAGACAACCGACCTGTAGTGACATTCTTTCCTTGATTCACGGAGTTGTTGCCAACATTTCCGTTCTTTCCATTCCCCTTATAACCATTCGAATTCTCTCCTTGATTGCTTGTTGGAGTAAACTTGTTCCCATTTCCTTGTTGCTTCAGTTTGGAGAAACACTCAAACTCCCTATGGCCTTTCTTGTTACAGAACCTACACACAACCAAGTTCCCATCACAATCTTTTTCAGGATGAACCTTGCCACATCTCTTGCAGTTGTAATGCCTTTCAACTTGGCCATTAGGTCTAGAAGATCCTCCATTGTTTTGAACATTCCTATTCTGGAAATTCTCGTTCCTTGGCTTCTTAAAGTTACCTTGGTCACTCGAATTCCCAAAATCCTTACGCTTTTCTCCAACACTCCCACTCTCAGGTGCACTCCTGACATTAAAGCTGTAGAGGTGCGCTGCTCTCCCATACACCTTATCAAGAGTCTTAAAAGTCTTTCCAGCCAAGTCCTTTTGTAACTGCTTAGTCAAACCTTGCTCAAATCTTTGAGCTTTCAACTCCTCAGTAGGCACTACTTCAGGAGCAAACCTCGACAAGTTCATAAACTTGTTATAGTACTCAGTAATCGACATATTGTTCATTTGCAGATTGATAAACTCTTGAGCCTTTTGCTTCCTTAAGAATGGTGGATAGAACTTCTCCCTAAGTTTGGTTTTGAAAGTCTCCCAACCAAAATTAGCCTCAGCACGAATCACGTTTCCATTATCCCTCCACCAAATATCTGCCTCTTCCTTCAAATACATGGCAGCTTGATCCACTCTCATATTCACAGGACAATTCAAAGCAGCAAAAATCTTATCAAAATCCCTAATCCAATTCTCCAGAAAAGTTCGGTCTACACCTCCCTCAAAGTATGGTGGTTTGACTTGTGCAAGCTTCTTAAACATCTCACCAGAAGGATCGGGATTATCATTGCGGTTTTGGTTCAAGTTCTCAGCTAGAAGCCTAATAGCATCATCTAAAGCATCGTTGTTAGCCATCCTCCTTCTCTGCCTAGAAATGTAACACACTCTCAGGCCGACATCAACACGAGAGAACTCACTTGTTCAATAAATCACATTCATAATCATCAAATACATATATTAAGGTAGAAAGGTGGACACGGCCACACAATCGCCCCTAATAAATCACTTTTAAAGGAAATGATTATTTAATTTTAATCATTCCTACGCACACGAAAATTAAATAAAATAACTCCCTTGGTTATATTCCTTCCAAAATCCAAACATTAAGTAAATAATATAATTAAATAAACACATTATAATAATCACATAATTACATGCTTCGCGTAAAGTTAATTTACACATATCATATAGCACAAATCATCACATATAGTTCCATATTACGTGCTTTAAACCTTAAACATGATACTAAGTGATCACTCAAGTTTGCAACATTAGATAAAACATACACAATTAAATAACTTGCATAATCACTTCATACAATAATAAAAGACAAAAGAATTAATTACAATGCATATAGAAAGAAATAATCTATCCTATACGCCCTTTCTAAAGCTACCCAAATCTCACCGATAAAATGAAACAAGCAAGGAAGTTAAGAAAATAAAATAAATAAATAAAATAATTTTATTTCAAATAAATAAATAATTCGAAAATTAGATAAAATAAACATATACTTTTTTTTTATATAAATGCCGAAATAAATATAATAGAATAGATTAATTTTTTTGAAAACTTAAGTTAACTTTAAATAAGGTAGTTAAATAAAACTCATTAAATTTAAAACGTTAGGCGCCTAAAAACTTTAAAATTGGCTTTAGTGGTAATTAAATCTAACCTAAGCTCCCATATACCACTTTGTAACACCCCAATAATTCTCCCTTTTCCAAACCACTTACTTTAAATAAAAATAGAGGAGAATCATTGGCATGTTACCGCCACGTGTTAAAACGTTAAGACTTTATCAAAGTATTGCAGCGGAAATCCAACTTAAATATTAAAATAATACTTCATCCGTTTTCTTTTACTTGCAACACTTCCCTAAAAAGGAAATATCACAATAATTGCAACACACTATAAAAGGAAAGTTACTTTAGGGAAAAACTATACTATTTCCCTTATTTAAAGCACATGGCCCACTAACTTACACTCCTAACAACCACTCATCCTATTTTAAAGTGTATTATATCATGTGAACCCCTCATTTCTTAAATACCGTGAAAAGGTGTGTGTTGCATCTAAAAGAAAACGGAGGAAGTATAATTTAGAAAATCAATAAGTCAAAGCTTACAAATTGGAACCATAAAGGCCCTTATTAAAACCAAACCAATATTCCAAAATCCCAAAACATAATAAAAATAGTAAAACATAAATAAGTTCAACACGAAGAACGAATACACTCAATCACACCAATCCCTTGACAATGCGTATGTTAAATCCCTGAACTTCACATCATCAAGCTAACCTGTGCAATACTGCTCCCCAATAATACAAGTGTAATAATTGGATCATCACAGGGTCATTGAAAGGCGAAGGCCATGACCAAAAGAAAACACACAAAAGCACGCAATCAGCAAAGCTGAGTACATACAAGCTACAACGTACCAAGCCTAGCATGCTCAACTAATTAAAGTAAATAAACATACAACACGAATTCATTAAAAAAGACTCCACACTTAAACAATTCAATCGACTCAACATACTTGCTAATCAATTCCACACACTTGACTCCTTATATTTAATTTAATTAATTTAATTTGGAGTAAGCAATAGACGAGGTTGTCCAATCCACCAAATCATTTTGGTCCCAAATGACCATTTAAAATAAAAGTTTAGCGCGATGCAAGAATGGGCGCGACTCCATTCTCACAAAGTTAGTCTAGGATCCCATCTAACTTTTATTATAAAAATAAAATGTAAATACCAAAAGAGAAGAGGACATGTTGATCAAACAAGCCTCGGAAAGCCACGGGCTACCACCGTGTACCCCAACCCATAATTGTCAATACTCTAGAAGTGCACGTTTTCTAGAGTTTTATTGCTCATCCATGTTTCACTTTACGTGATTACAATTTTATTTAATAGCCGACTCATTCCAATAGATCATACATAAAAATCATACATCAATTTACTTTTAATCTTATTTAGGACAATGGTGATCACATCACAAATTGACCTTTAATTTCATTAAACTTCCAAATTATCCAAATTGTTGAACATAGTCAACTCACCTAGCCATTTCGGCTTAATCCACCTTTACTCAACATACTAACAATTCATGATTGAGTAATAAAATAAAATAAATAACAACCTTGTGGAATAATTAATAAATTCATTCCATTTAAACCATTAAATTCCAATCCTTTAATAATCCAAATGTGGTTAACAAACCAATCCAATAAAATATGAAGTATCAACATTCCATACAAATAATTAATCCAATACAATTCAACATGTTTGCATCCATAATTCCATACAAACATAATCAATTCACCAAAACATGTCTCATAAACATAAGCACATGAATTAATTAAATGTATAACCAAACAATTTTCATCCAAGTGTTCTCTAATCATGAAACTAAGTTCTTTTCTTTGGTACCTAAACATGATACTACTTACAACGAAGTAGACATGTACGTACCTCGTATAAACAATCCTTTGTGCCACTTTTAATCACTTAAAAGTCTCCTAAGAAATAATCACTTCCTAGAAAACAAGCAACAATAATAAATTAATACTTATTAACCAAATTTCCAGCAATATAATTTAGATTAAAACTCCTTAAAACTTCATTAAAAACATGTTTTTATGGTTAATTATGCATTAGAAATACAATAGGAACAAAAGCCTCAATTTAATTAGTCATAAGAACCCTAAAATCCCAATTTAAATAAATTGAAACCCTAGGTTTTAAAATTATAAAATCTGAAAATTATAACAACAATTATAATCTGAAATTATTAGTTTAAAACATAAAAACATGATTTTTATACTAAAAATATAAACTTTATACTATAAAATCAAAACTCAAAACTAATTATAAACATTAAGCATAAAAAAAACTTCGTTAAAAATCAAAAACTGTTCGAAAATCATATTTAGAGACTGAATTTGGCCACGAGAGGGTGGTGCTCACTACCAAAGGTAGTGAGTCTTTCTTAAAACATTGTTTCCACATGGAAAACACTACTTTTTTGTCAAAATCGGATGAATTCAGAACCTGATCGGGATTAAAACGGGATTAATATTAACGAACCAAAATCTAAACATTAAAACACGAATTTACGTGTTCAAAATAATCTGGGATTAAGTTAAAATAATTAGTAGTATAATCACAAAAATTTCGAAACATCATTATTATAAAAGCCCTAAATAAACTGTTCATAAAAACCCTAAAATCATGATTGTCAATGATTAAAAACCCTAGGTTATTAAATTGACAAAATCTGAAAATTATAACATTTATAAAATCTGAAATTATAAAGTTTAATCATCAAAATACAATTTGATACTCATTAAATTAATTTCAAACAATAAAATCAAAACCCATAATCAATAATTATAATTACACAAATTAATAAAACAAAGGAGAAAAGAAATAAAACTAACCTTTTGTGTGGGGAAATTTTTGGGGATGTATGGGGTATTTATAGGAGAGAGGATAGTAGGGTAAGTAGGGATATTGGGCCTCATTAAATTAATGGGTCAATTAAGAAAGTAAACTGGGTTTGGTTTGTTTGTTGGACATAAATTATAGAAGGAAGGTTCATAAAAAGTTCTTTGTAATAAAATCGTTTATCAACCCTAAAAGTAATTTGAAACTTTTGAAATTAAATTCCGGAAAAATACAAATAAATATTATAAATAATATATAATTTCATTTATAATATATTTAAAAATATAGGGGATTACACAAACCTGTGACAATACCATAAACACTTGGCCTTAAAGTTTGGGTTGGAAGAATTAAGGTTATCCAACTTGACCCTACTATAAAATCTTCTCGCTTTGAGTGATACATTTTCATTGGAACTATTTTTTAAAGGGATAATATAATATTTTTTTTCCAATTTTTTTTTTTTTTTTACAAAAAAACCATTTTACTTAATATATCTCTCTCTTTTGATTAAAGATGGGCATGGGCCGTGCCGGCACGCGGGCGGCACGGGCCCAGCACGATTCCGGCACGGCGGCCCACCTGTGGGCCGTGGGCCGTGCCGTGAACAAAAATCTGGGAATCGGCACGAGGCACGGTGGTCAACCCGTGGGTCGGCACGCCGGCACGACACGTGGCACGGTCTGGCACGGCAGTGGTAATTTAATTTTTCTTATATGTATTGTTGTTTTTTGCTAAATTAATAAAATTATTTATATAAACTTAAACATAATTAGATAAATAATTTTTATAACCTTAATTAAAATAAAGTTTGTTCAAAACAAAATATATTAACATAAACATAAATTAATAACATTATTTGTATAAAATTAAGTTGTACTAAAAAATATTTATATATCGTTTTTTTTTTTACGTTCATTTTATAAATAAAAAAAATATAATAAAAAACAAAAAGTGGCACAGTTTGGCCCGCGGCCCGGCTCGGCACGGCCCGCCAGGCACGTGGGTCGTGCCGTGCCGTGGGCTGGGGTGTGCCAAATTTAGGCACGGCACGCCCACCACCGCGGCACGGCCCGCAGCGGCACGGCACGGCCCGTTGCCCATGTTTACTTTTGATCCTCGACTAGTATAGTACAACAATTTAATTATTTCTTTCCCCTTGACCCCGATATACTTCTTTATTACTTGTCTCATCTATCTCACATATGAATATTTAATTATCCAACCATTCACATTAGTTATGCACCCTAATTCTTAAACCTAATCAAAATTTGTTCGACCTGAAATTTACTCGGGTTTAATTACTATGATTAGGTTCTTTTGTCTTTCAAGTTTACTTATTCTGAACATTGCCAAAAACAGCAGTTTGTGCATTTTTTGACACAATCTTAGCTTGGACATGGCCAAAGGCTTGGTCCATTATAGGTCAGTCCAACCTTGCCCCCGCCCGCCCATGATCACCTCAAATAATTCTCCAAAAACACCGAGCAATAGCTAATCTGCTAATGTGTCACTTAAACAATTACGGAGGAAATACTAAGCCAAACCTATCTTTGCGATCGCAAACTCGATCTCATGCTTAAACAATAATTAAGCCACGAAGGGATTACTAAGTCAGGCAAAGTCTATTTTTGCAAAACATTCATGTATGAAGTATATTTCTTTTTAATTAATGTGGAGTACCCAATGAAGTGGTTCATTTAATTTTCCCTTTGGCCTTTGCATTTAGTGCACTATTTTTAATTTATTTTCCTGCTTCGAGGATTCCATAAGATTTGGTCATCACAAAATCTTTTGTTTCTTTGAATCCTTTGATTGTTCCTTTACCCAGTAAACACGAATACATGATAGACATTGCATATGACCTAAGTCGTGACGGAAGTGCTCCCTTTTTAATACTCACGTCAGTATTGTTCTGCTCGGTACTATTCTGTTAATACTCAAGTCAGTTGCTTTAAGTTATCAACTTTGCAATATAATTAGTTACACAGACCATAAAATGTCATCAGCTTTAACGAA